GCCCGGGGCCCCCTGGTTCCCCGCCCGGGCCCTGGGCTCTGGGGCTGCCCTGGCCAGGGGTGGCGGCCCCCGCCGGGCAGGCCTCTGCATGAAGGGGATCCGCACGGGCGACTTCTGCGTCTTGTGCTGCTTGGCCAGCAGTGCCCGCGCGGGCGTCTTGGGCACCGGCGATGTCCCGGGGCCGGGCAGGGGCCCCGCAGGCTGGGCGGCCGGGGGCGACCTCCTGGGCAGGGGCTGGGAAGCAGGGGAGGTCTGCGAGGAGCTGGACGAGGGGGTCTTGGCGAGGCGGGCGGGTGGCGTGGCGCTCCGCTGCGGGGGGCTCAGCGCCGTCAGTTCCGAGATCTTGCCGGGCCGGTGCAGGCTCCGCGACCGCGGCTGCCCAAGCCCGGGGGCTGTGGCGGGGGCTGCTGGCTGCGCGGGGCTGGGCGGTCCCATCTTCCTGGGCACGGCGCGGGGGCCAGGGGCGCCTTTGGGCTGGGGCCGGGGGGCTGGGCTGGGCACGTAGATCACCGTCCGCCCCCGGAGCACGGCCGGCACCCCGGACGTGGTCTTCGGAGCGCCACGCGGCTTCTCGGGGCCGCAGGGCAAGCGGGGCCCGCTGCTGCGCTGGGCCAGGGCTGCATCCCGTTTCTCCGGCCGTGCGGCACTGCCCGCCTGGCCCTCGGCCCGCGGCTGGGGCCCCTTCCTGTGCGGGGAGGCCTGCAGGGTGGAGCCCACCGAGAGCCCGGACACGAAGGACAAGATGGAGTCAGACTCAGACGAGGCCTCGCCGGTGGCCACCGCCGCCTGGTGCAGCCACGTGACGATGGAGTTGGCGCCCTCCTGGATGGCGCGCCACTCGACGCTGTCCAGGTCCGAGGCGTGGTCCGAGCCCGCCGCCTCCTCGCCGCGCTCCCGGGGCCCCTCTGTTGGCCGCTCGTCTGGCCGGGCAGCTCGGGGCTTGCGACGCCGCAGGGCCGGTGCCTGGGGCCGGCGCCGGGGCATGGCCGAGCCGATGCAGCGCCGGAGCAGCTCCGCCTCGGCCCTCGGGCTGGGGGAGCCGGTGAGCCCGCTGCCCGGCCCGGGGTCCTTGGTGACGGCTGGCTCTTGGGCTCGGGGCGGGCCGGCCACCGGCTCCAAGGGCTCGGGCTCGCTGAGGGAGCTCGCAGAGGAGCTCAGGGAGTAGCATGGCGGCGTCTCATCGGCGATGAGGCTGGGCTGGGCCCGGGCGGGCGGCACGATCTTGGGCACAGCCTTGGGCACTGGCTTGGGCACTGGCTTGGGTGCGGCCTGCGTCTCCTTCCTGCCGGCCAGATGCTCCCTCTTCACTGCCCGGGGTATAGCGGACGCCCGCCGGGGGGGTGGCACCTTCGTGGCCGGCTCCTCGTCCGAGTCGTTGCCGTAGAAGCAGTACACGGCCTCCTCAGTGGGCGTCGTGAGGCAGAGCGACTGCAGCGCCCCATCCGCACGCGCCCGGCCCAGGTGGGAGCCGTCCCTGTCTGCGTGGGCACTCGGGGGCCTGCGGAGGGGCAGCTCAAGTCCCACCCGGCTCCTGCCCGACCCCAGGGCCTGGTCTGAGCTCCGGCCTGGACCCCCCGCCCTCTGCCGGTGCCCGGCCGCCTGCCTGGCAGGAGCCACTCGGCCTGCGGGCTTCTGCCCGTCCGAGCGCCCGCCGGGCGGGTCCTTGGGGGGTCCCTGCAGCGTCTCATCGCTGAGCGAGGCCATGCTGGAGAAGTGGGCTGGCGTGCCCTCAGCCGACTCAGTGCACGAGTCGTCCTCGCGGGCCGGGGCGGGCACCAGCATGTAGACGGGCACGGGCAGCGCGCGGCGGCCGGGCACCCGCGCCGAGGCCACCTTTCGGAGCCGGGCGGGCACGGCCGCGCCCAGGCACTCCCGAAGCAGCTCCAGCTCCTGCTCGGTGGCCGTCGGCCCCTCACGGCGGCCGCTGGCGTCATCCCGCCGACGGTGCCCGGCGAAGTGCAGGCCGGGACCCCCGCCGCCGCCTCGCTCGGGGCAGGCGGGGGGCAGCAGCCGCAGTTCCACGTCCTTCTGCACATAGTGCTCGTGCAGGGCGAGCGCGCTGAGGCTGGAGGCGCAGGAGAAGTTCTCGTCGGGCTTCTCCACAGTGAAGCGCACGCTGCCCGCATCCAGCTCAGAGGGCAGGCGGCAGCGCTCGCGGCAGTCGGCGATGTCCAGGAAGCGCTTCACGTAGCTCTCCCACTGCAGGCTGAACGGCGTGGTCTCGCGCTCGCCCGGCGGCGCGGCGGCCGGCGGCGGCGTCTTGCTGCGGCTCGGCGGCATGGTCTGCCCGGGGCTGTCGGGCAGCTCGCTGGGGCTGACCGTGCCGCTGCCCAGCCCGCTGCACGGGTCGCTGGGGATGGAGCTGGCGATGGACGGGCTCTCGAAGCTGCCCAGCGAGCTCACCGAGCTGCAGCGGCTCAGCACCAGCGGCGTCTCCTGCACGCAGTTCTCCGAGGAGCTGGACGGCGTGGCGTCCTCCACCCCCAGGCCCCGGCCGCGCCGGGGGGCTGGAATGGCCATGGGCAGGGAGGCGGCCCCCGGCCCCCGCCAGGCCACGTCCAGCCCCGCCTCGCTGGGGCCCGCCTCCTCCAGCCCCTCCAGGGAAGAGTCACTGTCGTCCAGGTCCCCGGCCTCACTGGGGCCCGGGCGGCCGGCGGAGGACAGCGATGACAGGGAGCTGCAGCGGGACAGGCAGGGCGGCGCAGCCTCCGCTACCAGCTTCTGCGGCACCTTGCTCAGGGCCTCCTCGGGCAGCCAGGCCTGCTTCCGAGCCCCGGGCGCCGGGGGCCCCGAGCCTGCCCTGGCCGTGCCCTCCAGCAGTGGCACGTGCTGGTAGGTGGGCGACAGCTTGATGGTGCGCACGCGGGCATCGGTGGCCGCGGCGTCCCGGGCTGCCGGCTCAGCCTGGCCCCCCAGCAGGTTTAGGTCAAGCCGGCTGGGCCGCGCATGGCCGCCCAGGGGCCCCTCGCGGTGCTCAGCCAGCGCGGCCAGCTGGCAGGGCCGGGCGCGCTCGCGGGGACAGTGCCCGTCGCCAGTGCTGCCGCTGTTGAGGCTGTCATTGGAGAGGCTGGCGTGGGCCGCCTTGAGCCGCAGCAGCGGGTGAGCCCGCCTGCCCGCCTCCCGCCGCCCGGCCTCGGGCCCCCGGCACGGCGAGCAGGACTGGGCTCGGCCCTCCCTCGGCGCCTCTTGCCCGGGGTCCCCGGAGCTGAGGCTGAAGCTGTCGTCGGACGAGGTGTGCAGGGCCGAGATGTCCTCCACCAGCCGGTCGATGCGCGCCACTGCCAGCGCCAGCTTGGCCTTGGCCCTGGCCGCCACGGCCGCCTCGCCACCCGCCTCCTTCTCGGCCTCGGGGGCACCGCGGCGGGCGGGCGGGGCGCGGGCCAGCGCCTGGCCCTGCAGGAAGGGGCTGCCCAGGAAGAGGGACAGCACGGCGGGGCTGGCTGGCTCGGCAGTGGCGGCCACGGCGGCCAGCGAGGGCGCATCGTCGTCATCGAAGCAGCCCGAGTCAGAAGCGTAGTCCTGGGCCAGCCCGTCCAGGTGGCGCAGGGGCGGCAGCGGCTTCTTGGCGGCCTCAGCCTCGGGCAGGCCGCGCTTCTCCAGGTGGTCGAGCGCCTGGGCCAGGTGCCGCGCGTCCAGCTCGGCCTCCAGCGCCCGTTGCTTGCGCACGGCCAGGCTGGGCGCGCAGGCGCCCGGGGACACGGCGGTGGCCGCCGCCTGGTACTTGGCGGGCCGGTGGGCCAGCAGGTTGCGCAGGGCGGCGGCGCTGCCCATGGCGATCATCTTGTGCCGGGAGTGCACCAGGTTACGCAGCATGCCCACGGCGCCCAGGTCCCACAGCAGCTCCTGGTCGCGCGCGCTGCGGGCCGACAGGTTCCAGAGCGTGCCGCACGCATTGCTCACAATGGTCAGGCTGTGCGAGGTGAGGTGCTGCAGCAGCGTCTGCAGGCAGTTGTGGTCCCGCAGCACCTGCCTGCAGCACCGGGCGTCAGGGTGGGCCCCCCGCGCCAGCCTCCCCATCCCTCCAGGAACGGGGCAGCCTCCCCGTCCTGCCCCGTGCCGGCCTCCCCATCCCGCCCCTCGCCCGTGTCCCTGTCCCTCCCAGCACCACCGTCCCCATCCCACCAGGTACAGGGCAGCCAGATTTAGCAAATAAGAAACATTAGGCACCCGGGTAATTTCAAATTTCAGGAAAAAGGAGTGTGTAGTATAAGTATATCCCAAATACCCAATGGGATATACTTGTGCTAAAGTCTTTATTTATTGAAACAAAAAAAATTTATGAAATAATACTACTAATAAATTAATCATACTTATTTTTTAAAATAAAGTTTACTTTGAGTATATCTCGATTTAGCACCAGTCTGTCTCACGTGGTATTTGGGATATACTTATCCTAAAGGTCAGTTTTATTTGTTTTTGAAAATGCTAAGTACTATTTGTTAACATTATTTAATCAATACATGTTTTATTTATTTCAATAAATAAAATCTTTATCACAAGTATATCCCATGTAATTTAGGGAACATACTTCTTATAAAAATAAATGTTATGTATCTTCATACATCAGAAGCATTACTTACTATTAATATTACCTAGTAAATAATATTATTTTAATAAACATTATTTATTAATATTACTTAGTAAATATTTTAATAAAGAACAAGTATTTATTATTATTATTATTTAGAAAATAATACTTTGTGTGTGTGTGTGTGTGAGGAGATCAGCCCTGTGCTAACATCTGCCAATCCTCCTCTTTTTTTTGCTGAGGAAGACTGGCCCTGGGCTAACATCTGTGCCCATCTTCCTCCACTTTATATGGGATGCCACCACAGCATGGCCTGCCAAGTGGTGGGTCGGTGCGTGCCTGGGATCCGAACTGGCGAACCCCAGGCTGCCGCAGCGGAGCACGTGCACTTAACCGCCTGCGCCACTGGGCCGGCCCCAAATAATACATATTTTTATTTTATTGTTTTTTAATTTATTTTCTTTTCTGCTGAGGAAGACTGGCCCTGAGCTAACATCTGTGCCCATCTTCCTCTACTTTATATGGGACCCCGCCACAGCATGGCTTGATAAGCAGTGCATCGGTGTACACCCGGGATCCGAACCTGCGAACCCCGGGCTGTGAAAGTGGAGTGCGTGAACTTAACCACTGTGCCACTGTGCCAGCCCCTACATATTTTTATTTTAATAATCTAAAGTTTGGTATAAATGCACGCCATGCAATATTTGGGATATGCTTATACTAAAAACTTAGTCCCAGGTGACTAATCGGGGACATCCGTTTGCAGGACACAGCGAGGCGTATCCCCATTCACAACAGAGCGGGACTGGCCAGCCCTGCCCCAGACCGCGCCTGGGGGTCCCCCACCCCCGCGCCCCCCGTGCACCGCGTGCACCGCGACCGGGGAGGCCGACCTGTAGTCCTCGCGGGTGGCGATGAGGCTGGACACGTTGCGCAGGATGCCGCCGCCGCTCTCGATGATGGCCAGCGAGTTGCTCTGGCACTTGTAGGTCAGCGTGCTCACCAGGAAGCCCAGCGCGCCCTCCACCTGGCAGATGGCCGCCTTGTTCTCTGTGCTGTGCGCCGACAGGTTCCACAGCGCGCTGAGCACGCTCTTCAGCGTGGACTCCTGGGGACGGCGGGGGAGGGGGTCAGCCAGGGGGAGGGGGTCAGCCAGGGGGAGGGGCCAGGCGCCGGCCCCACCCCCCAGCCCTGCCCATCAAGCCGCCGATAAAGGCTGGAAGAAAAGGGACCAGATGGGTTTTCCGGTAAAAGTAAAAAGTGAGGGGCCGCCCCGTGGCTTAGCGGTTAAGTCCGTGCGCTCCGCTACTGGCGACCCGGGTTCGGATCCCGGGCGCGCACCGACGCACTGCTTCTCCCACCATGCTGAGGCCGCGTCCCACATACAGCAACTAGAAGGATGTGCAGCTATGACATACAACTATCTACTGGGGGCTTTGGGGAAAAAAGGAGGAGGACTGACAATAGACGTTAGCTCAGAGCCAGTCTTCCTCAGCAAAAAGAGGAGGATTAGCATGGATGTTAGCTCAGGGCTGATCTTCCTCACAAAACAAAAAAAAAGTAAAAAGTGATAAAATCAGCCATCACGGGGTCTTGGAGGTGCAGGGGAGGTAGCCCCAGGCCTGCCTGAGGCTGGACCACCTGCTAAGCTGTGGGGGGTTTGGCTCGATTTCCCCCCAAGACGGAGAACTCAGCACCTGTCGCCGGTATCTCCCTGCCGCGTGGCTGGCATTGAACAGCCGTGGCGGCTCCCGCTTCCCTGGGCCCGGGGCTCACTCCTGCTCCCCCAGCCCCGCCATCCCTTCCGGTGCCCACCTTGGTGGCCCGCAGGACGCACCGCATCAGAGCGGTCATGCTGCCGACCTCTCTGAGCACCTTCTTGCTGCTGATGTCAGCGCGCCAGGACAGGTTTCGCAGGATGCTGGACACTACCTGGGGCGGGTGCAGGCGGGCGAGGTGGACCCGGGGCCCAGGCTCCCACGGTGGTCTCGCACCCCCGCCCTCCACCACGGAGACTGGCGGGGACGGCCCTCACGGGAGGCCCATCACATCCGCTGGGGAGGGGGCTCCGCCGGCAGGGCCCCAGGCAGTGGGACGTGACGCCCCGCCCCGCCCCACCCCACCAGGGTACCTGGTGGAGCTCCTCGCTCTCAGAGGCCAGCTGGGCCACGATGGCCTCCATGCAGCCCCGGCGGGCACACAGGGTGGCCTGTGGGTGACACAGGAAAGTGACACCTTGGTGGGCAGGGCTGGGGGCACAAGGGAGGCCACCCCACCTCCCAGCTCCCTCCTGCAGTAACTGAGCACCTACTGTGTGCAAGAGCTGGAACCCCGCCCCCATCTTCACCCCACGGGGGAGGGAGAGCAGTTACCCCATTGCTCCGATGAGGAAACTGAGGCTCAGACAGCAGACACCCAGCCTCCCCCAGCCCGGGGTCCCCACTCTCCGCAGAGGCAGCAGCAGAGCGGCCACGAGGATGCGGTCTGGCCACAGCCCTCCCCTCCCCAGCCTCCCTGGGCCTCAGTCTACCCGCCTGCAGACTGAGGATAGCAGTTCCCAGCTCTCAGGCCATTTTGAGCCAGGATGAGGGGGAGGGAGGCTCAGACTGGGGGCAGCACCGACCCCACCCACTGGCCCCGGGCACCTTGTTGGCGACGTCCCCAAAGGTGAGGTTGGTGAGGGTCATGCCGGCGTATCGGCGCAGGGCGAGGTTGAGTGGGTCCCGGGTCATCTTGTGCATCTCGTAATCGACCTGCAGTAACTCCGCCACTGCCTGCAGCCCGCCTGTGGGGACAAGGGGGCTCGGTGAGGCTGCGGGCAGGTGGACGCCCCACACGACCCCACCTGCCCTCCTCCTAGCCTCTGCCTGTGGGCCTCCCGCTGCTCAAATGCCCTCCCCTCCATTCCCTCCTCCGCAAGTCCACCTTCGAAGCCCAACTCCGAGGACACCTCCTCCAGGGCAGCCTGCGGGCGCAGGCCCTGGGTACCCTACGACCAGCACACCCGCCTCCTTTCAGCCCTCGGCCTCCATTCACACTTCATCTCGCTGCCGGGCCTTTGCACATACACACAACGTGTCCACCCACACACTGGAATATGACACAGCCATGAAGAGGAGTGAGGCCCTGACACAGCCACACCGTGGACGGACCCTGAACACACGATGCTCAATGAGAACACCAGACACAGAAGGACACACGGTGTGTGATTCCACTGATGTGAAATGTCCAGAACAGGCCCATCCACAGAGAGAAAGTGGGTTCCTGGTTGTCAGGGGCTGGGGAGGGGATGGGAGTTTCCATTTGGGAAGATGAGAAAGTTCTGGAGATGGATGGTGGGGATGGTTGCACAACAACGTGAATGTACTTAATGCCACTGAGATGCACGCTTAAAAATGGTTAAGGTGGTAAATTTTATGTTATATATATTTTACCACGATTAAAAAATCTTAATACGTAATTAGAAGTTTTTTGGGGAGAAAATTCCAAGGCCTTTATGCTTCTTAATCTGGAAACTCCACTCCTGGGAACCCACAGGAAGGAAAAACATAACAATAGGGAAGGGGGCTGTGATCTGAGCCGTGCGCGGGGCCCGGTCTGGAACTAGGGATAGCCCATCTGGGGGGTCCTGACGGACACCAGTGGCACGCAAGCTTTTGGGTCTCGGGACCCCTGTACGCCCTGAGTGTTATTTGAGGACCCCAAAGAGTTTTCGTTCACGTGGGTTGGAGCCCTCCATATTTACCACACTAGAGTTGAAAGCAGAGAAACCCTTTAAACCCCAGAATGCACAGCTCAGCGGTCCTCAGAGTTAGAGCATCCGGAAAGCCCCACTGAACACACACGCACACGAGAGAGCAGGAGAGTGAAAAAGGCAGATCCTGCCTTCACGTTATTATCAACATAACTGTAACCCTGGGGACCTCTTAGAAGGGTCTGGGGAACCCCTAGGGGTGCCTAAGCTGCACTTTGAGAACCACTATTTTATAACACAAAAGTGACACAGATTCATAGTCCAAATGTTTAAGGTCAGACAGGGATGTGATGACAACTGAAATTCTGCTTTCCCGCCCCGCCTCGTCCAGCGGGAAGCACGGCCCAGGAGCCCCCCTTATTCTGAGGCACGCGTGTGCGGGTGTATTTTAGAGAAAAGGGACCATACCACATACGCCACTTTTGCCCTAGGATTCATTGAGAACTTAAGCAGTTGCATAAGATGCCACTGCCTTTAACCAATTCCCTCCTGTTGGACACTTAGGTTGCTTCTGGAATTTGCGGTTTTATTTGGGTCGGCTGCTGCCTCCCCCATTTTTCTGCATCTTTGTGGGTAAACTGGGGCAGAGGATAAATTCCCAACTGGGGGAGGGATGACTCAAAAGGTGTGTGCTCTCGTAAGTGCCCATGTTGCCAAAGCCCCCTCCAGAAAGGTGCTCTCCCTCGGCAGCCAGACCCTGGGGGACCTCATAGAACCCTGGAGTGTCTGACCATCTGCTGAGTGAGGAGTACCATCTCATTTTGTAATAATTCGAGTAAGATTGGGCACATCAATGTGATTTTTGGGATCTGGTATTTCCTTTGTCCATGTTTCGATTACTTTATATGGAAAAAGAGGTGTCGTAAGGCTCCCAAGCCTGGTACTTCGCCAGGTCGCCCCTGCCCCCAAACCAGTCAGTAGGTCCGATTCCGTGTATTAAGCTGGATCCTTCACCTTTGCTCTTGGCTTCCCGGCCACCCCCCTGTCCTCAGAGCCCCAGGACCATTAGGGCCAACAGCCTGCTCAGTGCTGAAGGAGGCCAGAGGCCTCGGGCCAAGTCGGGGGGTGGCGTGCAGCTCGTGGAGGCCGCGAGGGGGACACTCACCCAGCTCGTTCATGGCCCGGCGGTACTCCTCGTCGAAGGACAGCTTCATCACGGCACAGGTGGCCTGGCAGATCTGCGGCTCGATGGGGACGGGGGCTGTGGGCGAGGGGATGGGGTCAGGGCCCTCCCACTCCAGGAAATGTCCCCTGGTGGATCCCTGCCCCTCCCTGCCTTCTCCACCCCGCAGGCCTGCAGGGACCCCAGAGCTCTGCAAACCGTGCATGCTGGGCACAGGGGCCTCCCAGAGCAGCCAGCCTCCTGTGCCAACCTCTCTGAAATGAGGCAGGGGATGCGTGCCTTACTCCGCCTGCAAAGGGAGACAAGGCCGTGCCTGGGGCTCGGGACCTCTTAGGGGTGCTTTTGTCATCCATTAACTTTTCTTTTTTTTGTTTTATAATTTTTATTTATGTATTTTTGCCCCAAAGCCCGAGTAGATAGTTGTATGTCATAGCTGCGCATCCTTCCAGTTGCTGTATGTGGGACGCGGCCTCAGCATGGCCGGAGAAGCCGTGCGTCGGTGCACGCCCGGGATCCGAACCCGGGCCACCAGCAGCGGAGCGCACGCACTTAACCGCTAAGCCACGGGGCCGGCCCAATCCATTAACTTTTCAATCATCTGCAAAAACTAGGAATCTGAAAGTTTGCACCCCAGTTTCGCGGTTACCCACAATCTATCCATGCACCCAGCGACGGTCACCCATGGCTATCCCTTTGCCCATCTGTCAGGACAAGGTGGCACAGAGAAGGTGCACAGCAAAGGCCGGTGGCCGCCGTTACTGCTGACGATGTCACCCGGGAAGCCCAGGCCACGCGCCCATTGCGCGGAGGTGGCCGGCGAGGCCGCGCACTCACTGCCGCCGGCGCCGCCGCCCTCGCTCCCGCCATCCCGGGCCTGCAGCCAGTCCCAGCAGGTCTCGCAGTAGGCGCGGATCTGCTCCAGGACGTGCAGGACGCGCATCTCCTTGCGCGCCAGGCCCTGGTCGGGCTGCGAGAAGACGATGTTGTGTAGTGCCGCGTTGGCGCGCATGCGCGCGTCCTTGGCTCCCGGCGCCCCGGGGTTCCCGCTGCGACCCCCAGCGCCGGCCTCAGTGCCGTGCAGGATCTGTAGCAGCAGCGGCAGGCAGCCCGAGCGGCGCATGGCCACGCAGCTCTCCGGAGAGCTGGACATGGCGAGCAGCGTGCGCGCCGTGTCCTCCTGGTCGCGCGTCGCCAGCATGGACAGCAGCCAGAAGACCACCTCCACCTGCAAGGGGCAGGGCATGGAGTCAGGGTGCGGAACCCCACCCGGCTCACCGGGCCCCAGCCAGCCCGCCGACCCTCCCCAGCCAGGGACGGCCCCCACAGCCCTGGTGATCCCCCTAAACACGGTGGGAGTACTGCGACCCCAGCCCAGGAGAATCGTCTTCTCACCCCCACTGCCCTCGCCATGCGTCCCCTCAGGGGCCACCACACACACACCTGGGGAGTGGGTGGGGGCGTCGGTCACTGCCGAGATGCCCCCAGCCCATCAGAGCCAAATGCCCGCCCCAATGGCCTCACCGAGCACTCCAAGGGGTGGCCCCTACATCTCAGTCTAGACTGCCTCCCAGACACACACAGGTATACCTGCCCACCTTGACAGGCCCCACCAGGCTCATCAGAAGCCTGGACCCCTCATCCCCACCAGGCTCATCAGAAGCACCCCCCCCAGGTGCCCTCCCATACCTGGGGACGCTGGATGGAGGCCTGGGGAGGGAGGGGGCGCCACATCCCGCAGGGATCCCAACCCAGCGGGCCGCCCCCACCCCCGCCACTCAGCGACCCCACCTGGACTCCCTCTCACCTTGCTGTTGCCCGGCTGAGGGGCACCGTCCTCGGGGTGCGTGGGAACTTCAGTCTCGTGGTCCTCGTCCACTGGCATCGACTTCACTGCAAGCAGGGCCTGTGGGGAGAATGCCAGACCTAGGGGTTCGGTCCGAGAGTACCCCACAACGTGCCCAGGCTGCTGATGGCGGCCGCTCTCCCATGCCCATGTGGTGGCGACTGCAGGCAGATCCCTGAACCCTGGGCAGGGCCCTGGGGCTCCCTGCTGCTTGGGGCTGTCACACTCTCTAGGGCCATGGCTCCGCCCCTCCCGGTACCTGGGGCTCCGTCTGCTGCACCCGATCCTGCGCGGACAGCAGCTCCTTGTCGATCTGCTCCAGGCGCGAAGCCCGGATCTGCCAGGGAACATCACGCATGCAGGGGCTGACCCCGCCCCTCCCGCTCTGACCCCGCCCACTCCTTGATATGGCCCCACCCACTAAGACCTCGCCCTGATTCTCTGACCCCGCCCACTTCCCAGTATGACCACACCCACTGTCCAAACCCCACCCCTGACTCTGATTCCACGCATCCTCTAATGGTCCCACCCACTGTGGAGGCCCTGCCCTATCCTTCTAGATTCACCTACTCCCTGACCTTGTAGGGAGGTCCTACAAGGTCCTCCTTGTAGGTCCTTGCTGCTCCCCATTGAGCCCCACACTAGACCTGCCCACGCCTTTACTTGGCCCTGCCCCACCCTTCTAGGCCCGTCCACTCCTTGACTTGGCCCCACCCCATCTTTCTAGACCCACCCACTCCCTGGCTTTGCCCCGCCCACTGAGTCAATACCTAGGGCTTGTTCAAACTCGGTTCCGCCCACTGTCCCCCCTGGCTCTCCGCCCTTAGCCTCCTCTGGCTCCACCCCCAAACAGCTCTAGCTTCTGGCTCCGCCTTCTGAGCCAGACCCCGCCCACAGCAGTCTCCACCCTCTGATTCGCCTGCAGGCATATAACTCCGCCCATTAATCCAGACCCCGCCCACAGCAGTCCGCCTTCTGATTCCCTCACAGGTGTATAACTGTTTATTAATCCAAACTCCGCCCACAGCAGTCTCTGCTTTCTGATTCACCCACAGACATATCTCTGCTTATTAATCCAGACCCCACCCACAGCACTGTCCTCTGATTCGCCCACAGGCATATAACTCCGCCCATTAATCCAGACCCCACCCACATCAGTCTCTGCCCTGTGATTCCCCCACAGGCGTATAACTGTTTATTAATCTAAACTCCGCCCACAGCAGTCTCTGCCCTCTGATTGGCCCACAGGAATATAACTCTGGTTATTAATCCAGACCCAGCCCACAGCAGTCTCTGTGCTCTGATTCGCCAACAGGCATATAACTCCGCCCATTAATCCAGACCCCGCCCACAGCAGTCTCTGCCCCCTGATTCGCCCACTGGCACATGGCCCCGCCCCCACAGGCCCCGCCCACAGCAGTCCCTGCACTCTGATTCGCCCACCGGCATGTGGCCCCGCCCCCGCCGGCCCCGCCCCCGCCGCACCTGCGCCCGCTGCACCATCTCGTCCGAGGTGCCGAAGCGCTCCTCCATCAGCGAGCGGATGTGCTGGGCCTCGAACTCCAGCTGCTGCCGGATCAGGTCCATTTGCATCGAGAACTGCTGGGAGGGGCGCGCGGGCCGCGGTGAGGCGTGCCCGCCCGGGGCCTCCCCGCCGCTCCCCTCGCCCTGGGCGGGGCCGGGCACGGCCGACCCCCGGCACCCCCGCCCGCTCACCGTCTCCACGTGCGGCAGCTCGTCCAGGCGCTTGGACAGGCCCTGCAGCTGCGAGTAGTACCATAGCTTCTCCTTCTCCTCCTTCTCAATCTCATTCAACAGGAAGCACCTGGGGGGGTGGGGGCAGGTCGGTGGGGGCGGGCTCCCAGAGGGGAGCCGTCAATATGTGCTGTTTATTTTTATTTTGTAATCACTTGTTGGGCGCTTACGGTGTGCCGAGTTTAATAGGCAGTGTGGCAAAGTCTCACCCACGGCGCTCCCGGCACTGGGATGGCGTGGGGGTGGGGCTAGGGTAAATTGGGTGGGGTGCAGAAAATTCATTAAAAGGAGAGAAGGTAATTCCTTTGTAAATGCTGGTCCTCAGAGAAAGATTCTGGGGGGGGAAATGTTCTAACACCTCTCCGACACTTGCTAATCTCCCTCTAGCCTACACAAAGCAAGCTTCAGGCTCAGATTGCTCCAGGTGCAACAGAGTCTCCTTCTGGACATCTCTGTGGGGAGACACTGCCATTCTCATTTTACAGAGCAGAAGGTTGAGGCTGGGAGGGAGGGGTTAGGGGACTTGCTTGAGGTCACAAAGCAGAGCACGAACGTAACTCCAGGCCGCTCTGGAACTGCTCCATCTGATCCCACACAACCCAGCCGAGCTGAGCTGGGCGCCCGGACCCTGCCTCCCTCTCCTGGCCCGGGGCCCAGGTTTCTTGGGCCGCAGCTCTCTCTCCACAAAGGCTGCCTTGAGCCCCTCTGGCTCCAGGCCTGATCTGAGCCCTGGCACTGGACACACCCCTGTCCCCAGTGACGCCTGAGTGTCGGGGACCCCTGAGGACGTCTCCCAGGAGCCTTCCCCTCTGCTGGGAATGCATCCTCCTCTTTGTCCTCCAAGTGAAGTCCTGGGCCAGGAAACGGGGCAGGGGCGGCTCACGAGGTGGGTGGGGCTGGCTCAGTGGGAGGAGCATATGCCGGTGGGCCAATCAGAGGGCAGAGACTGCTGTGGGCGGAGTCTGGAGGAGCAGAGCTATGTGACAGCTGCCCGTGGGGTGGTCAAGTTCCCGCAGTCTCACCGTTCCCGGTCCAGTTCCTCCAACAGCCGGATGGTGGCCCGGCTCAGCTCCCCAAAGCTGTCCTTGGAGGGCCCGGAGCCATGTACTGGGCTTCCCTCAGGGGTCCGAGCAGCGGGCTCGGGGCCCAGGGCGGGGGGCTGGAACTTGAGGTTGTACAGGCTGGTGATGTCCATCTGCAGGGCTGGGTGGGCGCAGAGGGAGAGGGCGAGGTCAGCACCCCTCCCCGGCCCTCCTCCTCCCAGCTCCCTCGTGGGGGGACCGGGGGTTGCCCCAGTGTGCAGAGGGGGCCCCCAGGCCGGCACCTCACCTTTCAGCTGCTCCAACACCTCCGTCTGGCCCGAGGACACGAGCACTCGGGCCTCCTGCTCCAGCTTGCCCTGTAAGTGCTTCAGGACCTCCTGCGGGGAGGGCAGGAAAGAGAGCTGGTGGGCATCGGCCGCTGCCCTGGGCTGCCGGGGTCCACGCCGCCCACCGGATGCCCCAGGCCCCTGCCTGCCCATCTCTGGGTCTAGCGCCCCGGTGTTTGTCCCTGCGACCTCAGCCCGTTCCTCCGCCCAGCCCCCGCCCCCACCTTCATGCCGGACGTCTCCGTCTCCAGCTTGGACAGGTGGCTGGAGTTGTCCCGCAGCTCCTGCCTCAGGTGACTGTTCTCGGCCTTCAAGGCCTCCACCTGCCGCACCAGCTGCTCGTAGGGTGCCACGGAGCTCGTCATCTTCAGCTCCTGCAGCGTCTGGGGCCACAGGGTCAGAGCGTTCACCCCAGGGTGTCGGGGGGCGACAGCCCTTGACCTAAGCCCCAGCCCTCCCTCCCAACCCTGCGGGGATTTCAGGGGAGGGGCTGGCATGGACCTCGGTGCCAGGCCAGGGAATCCGGCAGACAGACGGTGCAGCAGATGGAGTGACAGACATAGGCAGGGACAACGAGAGACAAAGGGGCAGAGCCGTCCAATGGGTGTTCAAACGCCCAACTGACCGACAGACAGACGTCTGCCCTCACTGCCGGGCTCCCAGAAACACGTGCGGACTGCCGGCCAGACAATCAGACAGATAAACAGCCAAGACCCTGACAGTCTAAACCAGCACACGGATTGGCCAGCCCAGTGCCACCAGGCTCACAGACACACTCACAGCCAGAGACAGACAGACAGACAGACAGATGGACAGCCAAGACCCTCCCCTGCAGAAGCGCAGCTGCCCAGAGGCAAAGTGGACAGACCGCCAGCTGGCCCAGCTGATGGACAATGAGAATGCCGTGAAGATTCTAAGAAAGCGATGGTCGGGATGATGGTGGCGCCCCTGCTGCTGGACAGATGGACCCAAGCTCACCACGGTCACCCTGGGGGTCGGGAGGCTGGATGCCCTGCAGCCCCACACCCTCTCCATCAGCGGCTGGATCCAGGGTAGCTACCTGCGTGGCCCGGCACCCCTGCCGTCAGCCCTCTGCTGGCCCCCGGCGCCCCATGTCCCTCCCCTGGGCTCTGCCACTGCCGCCTGTTCCTTTGTGTGTCTGGCTGTCCTTTCTCGATCGGGCCAGCCTCCTCCCTCTGTCCAGCTGGCCGGCGCCTCCTCCCTCAGCTTGGCCCTCCAGCCAGAGCCGTCCAGCCCCACAGCCCCCCTTCCCTCTTTGTTCCCTTCCCATCAGCACTCGCCCCCTCCCTCCGCCTTTGTCTGAGGCGCACCAATAGCAGCCCGTCCCCTCCGCTACCTCCTCCCTGGGAGCCACCTCCCCCTGCCAGCCTGAGCCCCCTCCCCAAATCAGCCAGCCCTCCCCTGCCCACGGGGTGTGGGGGGCACCTGCTCCTCTCCCCTTCCTCCCCTACCTGGCCACACTCATTCATTCATTTGCTCATTCATTCTCCTCCTACCCACAGAAGCCCCCTGCCCACCCTGGGGTCCCCCAGGGCACAGTTGGGCCTGGAGTAGGGGTGGGGGGCTCAGCTCCAGGTGGAGAATGGGGTGAGGCTCAGAGGGGAGGACCCACTGCCAGCCTGGCCCTATCATCTGACCTTCTTTTCACAGTCCTGAGTCGCAGGGACCACCACTGGGCTGTTCCCAGAGAGACAAACTGAGTCCCAGGGGACAGACAAGGCATAAATGGAACCCAAAAACTGCCCCAGAAGTGCTCAGAAGTCCAGTGTCTGGGGAGGGGGCTCAGGCTGGCAGGGGTCCCCCACTCATTCCTCGCATCAGCCCACGAAACAGGCCTGGCAGACAGACTTCTCCCCATGCCTCAGATGTGCAAGCTGAGGCCTGCAGAGGGGGTGGGCCCGTGTCTCGGAGCAATCTGCAAGTCACAGGGCAGACGGGATGGTCAGAATGGGAGACAGCGTGTCAGGCGGGGGAGGCTGGCCACCTGGGGACCACAGCCTTCACCTCCTGCCCCATACTGATCCCGCCCGAGGCTCAGTTGGGGGTGCTTGCTGGGGATCAGGCCCGGGATTGCAGCAAGATCCCTGGGGTCCGGCTGGAGCCCTGAGTCCTGGCTAAGGCCACCATGCCGTGCCCAGCCAGGGGCGAGCTCGAGGTGGAGGAAAATCCCCAGCATATCCCTCCCACTGCCCAAACCCAGACCCCCCGAGCCCTTCCCGGGGCTGCCCTCATGGGGCTCTTCTGGAATGGCCCAGGCCGAGCCGCGGACACCTTCACTCCCCCCACATCCAGCGGTCACTCCTGCGCCCCCATCAGACTGAGCTTGGCAGGAGGGTCACCCACCAGGTGTCCCCTCATTCCAGCCTGGGTCCCAAACTGCACACACTCACCAGCCCCTCAAGCTCTGTCCAGCTACACCCTCCCTCCCCCAGCTCCCCACACCCCGCCCACTTTGAAAGTCACTGGCCGGAATCCATCTCTCTGCTGCTCCAATACCGCCTGTGGCTCCCCAGTGCCCTCAGCATAAGATGCGGCTCCTCCACATACGCCCCGCATCACCGCCACTGGCAACTCTTCCTCCCGCCCTTTGACATGCAGTTCTCCTGCCTTTCCTGACTCCTGCCATCCCTCACAGCGCAGCTTCCTCCAGGAAGCCCTCCTGCCTGCCCCTCACCCCAGGCTGCATCAGGGGCCTCCCTGAGAGCTCTCCATCACCGACAGGAAAGCGCCAATAGCTGGGGTTCGTCTGATGGAGCAGTGAGCGGATGTATTTCAGGGGAGGGAGGCACATTCGTGGCCCAAGGGGGCCTTTCCCTGTCTTCTAATCCAACTGACACCCAGAGAGGTGCAGCGCCATTCCCCAAGGCACACAGCAGGCCTGCCCGCAGACCCTGGGAGACCCGGGTGATGAAGCCTGTAAGTGGGTGTGTGCGTGGGACAGCTGCAGCGCCGCAGACGCCCACCTCCTTGGGACTCAGTTTCCCCGGGGGCTCCACCCAGGAAAAACGGAGGCTACAGAGCGTGTTGGGATGGAGACCCCCGGTACAGGCGGCGGCCGCGCCCCCTGCCCTCCACCCAGGGGAGCGCGCTTACTTTATCTCACTCGGGCTGGGCTGGCGGCGGCGCCACGGGCCTAGGTCCCCCTCCCTCGGCGCAGCTCCGCGGGCCCCGCCCCAGATCCCGGCCCTCCTGGGCCGGGGCGGCCGCGGGGCACGGGCTCCTGGACTCCGGGGTCTCCGCGGCGCAGGCAGGAGGCTCCGGGGCGGACAAAGCCCGATCCAGGCCTGGCCAGACGGCGCCCCGGCTCCGGGAGCTGGGCGAGACCACCGCGAGCGGGGGAGGATGCGGGATGCAGGATGCAGGCGCGGCAGCCAATGGCGGCGCGGGAAGACGGGCTGGTGCCATGGCAACAGCCAATGGCGGCCCGGGGCGGGGACCAGCGGCGGCCGCTGGGCGTCGGGCCTCCGCGCGGGCCCAGGGGCTGCGTGTGCGGGGGTGCCCCCCCAAGGGAAGGGGGCACCCTGAGGACCAGGACCCCGTGTGCCCCACGCCATTCCGGGGTGAGATGGCCTCTTAGAACCTCCCGCGGCTGGATCCGCAGAATTGGAGAGTAAAATATCCAGTTCTGGGTGTTACATCAGAATCTTAGGGGAGGGGGGAAGGGAAGCTCCCGGGGAACCCCTCCCCGCGGATCTGGCCGGCCTTGTGCGGATGGGTCAGGGCGAGACAGGGCTCGGGATCCAGGCTAGACCCCCCAGGGTCCTGGCTGGTGTGGGGGGGGGAGCGTGGGGGATGGGCAGGCACAGTGGCCAGCTCCAGGGACCCAGCATTTCTCCCCATTTCTCCCTGTCTCCCTGGCGGAGCTTCAGCTCCTCCGTTGGCATCTGCCTTGACTCTGTGTCCTTCCCCACGTCCCTCTGTCCCTCAGGCTCTTTCAATCTCTGTCACCCTGTGTCTCTGTCCCTCGTCGCACCCCTAATTCACCCTCACAGGGGGAAGCCAAAGGAGGGAGGGGCCTGGGGTCCCAAGAGTACAAGTCCCCAGCTGTCTCAGATCCTCAATGGGTCCCCAGAGGCCACTTGAGGGTTTAACACCCAGAGCCGGAACCTGCAGCTGTGGCTCAGACCTTCCTGCTGCCGACATGTGCACACGTGCGTGAGGGATGGAGAAGGAGGCGCCAGGGCCAGGGGAGGCGGGTTGGGGGCCTGCCTCTGTCTTATCTTGGCTGGGGGGGCCAGGGCAAATTGCTCACCGTGACACCCTCAGTTTCCCCCTCTGTAAAATGGGGAGGTGGCTGCAGCCTTTGTGAGGGCTGGTTTGAGGGAGGACAGGAGGGGCAGCCCAGGGCAGGGGGACCATGCTGTTTCATACCAGGTCTGCTGCAGGAGGCCCCGTGTCCTGGGCCGGCAATGCTGGGGCCCCGAGAGGACTCAGGCCTGACTGTCCGGGAGACTCCAGAGCCGTCCCCAGGTGTCCCCAGGCGTCCCCAGCCTGTGGGGCTTGGGGAGGGGGTGCAGTGGGCAGTGGGGCTCCTCTGGAGCTGGGAAGGCTGCACTGAGAAGGGGACACTGGTGCTGGGCCTCTTCGGGATGAATAAGAGTCAGCCACGGGATCAAGGCTGAGGGAGCCCTGAGAGGGCAGCGCCCACTCAGGGATAGGGGCTTCTGGTGGGGCCAAGGAGTTCAGCAGGCGAGGGGGCTGGACTGGCGGGGTTAGGAGGGGTTTAGAGCAGGGCAGTCCCCTCGGAGGAGTCACGGGGCTGAGCTGACCACGGGAGAGCAGGGCAGGCTGGGTAAGGCCAGAGTGGGGGCGCAGGGCCCCGGCTTCAGCTCCACCTTGACATCCCCGTGTGACCTTGGACATGGCTCTCTCTGGCCTCAGGTTCCCGTTTTGTTCACTGGGGGGTGGGCTGGAGAATCTGTGCCCCCGCACACCGTGGAACTAAGTGTCACCTCCCCCGCCCAGTCTCAGATGTCACCGCTCCCCAGGCCCCTCTCAGCCAAACCTTAGAGCTGGCAGGGACTTGGGGGTCTAATGGCCGGTCCTGTCCTTGTACACATGGGGAAACTGAGGCTCGGGCCAGGGAGCATGTTGCCTGAGTTCACACATGAGGCTCACCAGGCCCTGGGCCTTCCTCGCTCACCCATCTGGGTGTGGCTGGGCCTGGAAGGCTGAGGGCACGGGGGGGCTGAGACCCCAAGGCAAGATGGCCTTGTCTTCAAGCCTCTGGAACATCACATCCCTGACACCTCCCAAATCCTTGACCCTGTAAATCTTTGAGCCACAGCCAAACACAGACATCACAGGCAATTCTAGAACCATAGAGTTTCGGGAAACCCCACAGCCCCCGGGGACCCCAAGCCCAATCTCAAGGGGCTGAGACAGCCCCCCTCCATTGCACAGTGCCCAGGCCCAGTAGGGGGGCCCTTCCTAGCTTCCCTGCCTGGTATCTTCTGCGTCCCCTACTGCTGCTGGGTTCTCCAGGGGGAAAGTGGAGTCACGGGGCTCGCTTCTCCCCATCCCCACCCTGAGACCCTCCCCTCTCCTCCCCCGCCCTCCCAGCACGTGGTCGGGCACACAGTAGGGTCACTCTCTGAGTATCTTTGGGCCTTCTGAGCCTGACCTCGGGCGTCTCTGCCCCCTCGGTGCCCCGCCCTTCCCCACCGAGCTTCCGCTGTGCCAGGGACTGGAAGTGGAGCCAGGGCGGCCCCCGACTCGGAGCTGGGTTGGGGGCAGAGGGGAACAGGAAGGCACCAGATCGTCATGCGACCATAGAGATGGGGTGCGGGCTGGATGACCGGGCAGGGAGGGCCCTGACCGGTGAGGAAGGACTGCCACTGGAGGTGGGGGGGCCGGTGCAGGACGCGCCCTCGCATCCCCACCCGGGGTGGGTCGCCTGACCCCGTTCTGGGCCTCAGTTTCCCGGGCGGGGAGGGGCGGGCGCGCGGCCCCGTCAGCACCGCGGACAGCTCCCTGCGGCCTCCGAGCCGCGTCCTCTGCGGGCGCCTCGGCCCCGCGCTCAGGCTCCGGCCCTGCTCGAGGCGTGACCTTGGGAGCCCCGCTGCACCCCAGCCTCAGTTTCCTCTTAAACAGGGGATGTTATAGCCCCAAGATTCAGATCGATTACAGAGGCCGGCAAAGCGCTCGGGTCCGGTGGGGTGTTATTACGAACATCAGGGTCAGTGAACCTCGGAGTGGGCCCTACGCTCGGCGCCCAGAAGGGGAAACTGAGGCCCGGAGAGGTGAAGGGCGTGGCCTGGCCCTCCCACCCGCCTGTGCCGGCCGGAGCCTCCTCACGGCGCGCCCCCGCCGCAGACCCCACCGCCCCAGCCGGTCTCCGCGTCCGCACCGTGGGGAGGGGTCCGGGGGTCCCCCTCCGAGGCCGAGGGCTGGGCCCGGCGAGGCCGCGCTTGCGCAGACCGGGGGGAGGGGGTCGCTGCGGCGCGGGGGAGGGGCTCCCGCCCTGCGCACATCCCGAGGCGGTTTCCCCGGCAATGGTCTCCACGGCGACTGCGCGAGACCCCAGACCCGTGGAGCCTCGGTGCGCGCGCCCGTGCGCCCCCCGCCGGGTCCCCGTTCCCGCGGTCCGCACCCCATCGCGGGCGGCGGCTCGCCCGCCCCAGCCGCGCCCAGGCCGGACCCCGGCCCCGCGGCCGGGACCCCCGCGCCCTACCTGATCCCCGAAGAAGGCCGAGTGCAGCAGGCTCAGCAGCCCCAGGAGCCCCATGGAGCCGCGGCCGCCTCGGACCAGCTGCGCCCCGCCCCTCGGCCGCCGGGTGGTGGTGGGGGCGGCCGGGGCTCCCTGCGCCTGCGCGGAGGGAGGGGCGGGGACGGGTCACACTGCGGGGCCGGGCGGGGACTCCTCCGGGAAGGGGGCGAGTGAGGGGGGGTCTGGGGGACCTCGCAGCGGCGGGAGGAGGGGGTCTCGCGGGACTGAGGACTCGGAGGGGCAGCGCGAGGAGATCCCGAGAAAGGGGGATGGAGAGGGGGACCCGCGTGAGCAGAGGAGGAAGGGGGAGGGGCCGGGGTCCGACGGGGCTGGGGGTCCCTAGAGAGGTGCGGGAGGGGTCCTTGGCGGCGGAGAGGAGCGGGGCGCGGCTCCCTCTGCAGGGGCTGGGGGACCCCCGAGGGGGAGCGGGGAGATAGGGTGAAGGGGAGGTGGGAACCCGGGGAGGAGGCGACCCACGGAGAATGGAGATCTGGGAGGGACCAAGGGAGGCGCAGCACTGCGGCCGTAGTCAGCTGCCCGCTTGACCGCTGTCCCTGCGGAAGCCCGGGCACCTCTTCCGAGCCCGCCCAGGTTCATTAGTCATTCAGCAAACATTTGCTGCGCGCCTGCTGATTGCCGGGCTCCGAGGTGGCGGTGGGCACGGAGGGGCCCGATGGGGCGCCACCGCACGTAAACAAACGTTCATTCAGTCATTTAACAGACGCTCATAATAAGCACCTACTGTGTGCTGGGCCCTGTGCAACGAACAAAACAGTCAAAACCCCCGCCCGTGGGAAACTGACACGGGGGGTGGGGACCGACAGTCAACACGAGGACAATAGGTTGGCCAGAGGTTAGCGCTGAGGAAGAAACAGCAGGGGAGGTGGGGTGCGTGGGGGGCTGCTAGGAAGGAAACTCGAATGGGGACCCAAGTGGGAAGAGCATCCCGGCAGAAGGAACAGCCAGCGCCAAGGGAGGGGGCAGGAGGCGGGGGCGGGGAGGGGACGGAGGGGACAGAGCGGCCGCGCAGGGCCCCGCCGGGCGGGGGGACGCGGGCTTCCCCCCCGGGGGACGTGGGAGCCACGCCGGGCGGCGGGCAGAGCAGGGACGGCGACTCGGTGCCCACGGCGCCCTCTGGCGGCCGCGGGGAGAACAGACCGAGGGCGGCGCCGGAGACCCGGGCGAGGAGGGGACGGCGCTGGTCCAGGAGGGACGGTGGGGGGATGGATGGGGGGATGTTGGGGAGGGATGGTGGTGGAGGGACGGTAGGGGTCGCGGAGGGGGTGTTATTAGGAGCTGTGCTAAGTCCCGGGAAGGCAGAGGACAAGCAGCGAGAAGAGAAAAGGGTGGAGAGGGCAGGCTGGAGTGAGCAGGTGCCCTGAACCAGTGGGAAGGGCATCCGTGCCGGCGGCACGGCCCATGCAAAGGCTGGGAGGTGGGAACAAGCCAGGAGGGTTTGCCGAGCAGCGGGGAGGCGGGCCAGTTGGGGGAGGAGAGGGGGCAGGCAGGGCTTCCTGGGCCCCTCGAGGACGCTGGGCGTTATTCTGGGGCCTGGGGGAGTCAGGGGACCATGACGGGTGTATTTATTTCAAAGTGACGTCCAGGTGGGAGATGGCTGAGGCCTTCCAGGGCAGTAGCGGTGGGGGTGGTGGGAAGTGGCCGGATCTAGGACCGACTGGGAGGGGGTGACACAGAGAGGGTGGGGGTGTCCAGACCAGAGCCCCAGAGGAGCTGCCTCTAACTGAGACGGTGCAGATGGGCCGGGCAGGTTTGGAGACAGTGGACTGAGTCCAGACTTCTGGGGTTAGAGGCTCCTGTCCCGCCCCCTGGACTCCCCGAAAATGCTCCTGGACTAGGGCGCCCCCTGGCGGCTGGCGCGTCTCAGTCTGAAAAGGACACGGTTTTTCCTTGTATTACTAAAATATACATTGGCCTCTCATCATACGCAATTGTTATGAAAATCCAAGCTGCAGAAAATTAGAAATGATCACTGGCCACCCCCACCCGGAGCCCACCCAGGTGACCCCTGCTGGCCAGGCAGCGAGCTTCCCATGAAGGCTCAAAACTTGACACACGCTAGGGGGGAGTGGTGGGGCTGACTGGGGGTGACAGCAACGCTGCTGTCCCAGGGAGGGTCCTGCTCGTTTTTACAGAACAAGAAACTTTGGGTGAAAGGTCCACTAATTGAAGCAACAGGGGCCAGTGTCCGCTGTTGTGCTAAATCACCATAAACGATATGAAGGGGTGTGGCTGTGTACCAATAAAACTTTATTGACAAAAACAGATGGCGGGCCGTTTAGCTCTAGTTTGCCGACGCTCGCGAGTGAGCAGCCATTCCCACTTCCACTAGCCCACCATCCGAGGTGGAGGGGCTCAAACATGGTCTGCACTTGCCTTTTGCTCCTGCAGCTGGACCTCATGCTGGAAAGCTCTGCCCATTTCTATGGCTTTTCATGCTCAGGGTCAAAACCTACCTTCCAGTAGTTTTTGGATAAAACCGTGGAAAATATGTTTCTTATACTTCAGCCATTTCATTTTCTTAATTATGTTAATTCCAAAAAACAGGCAGTTGAGACTACAGTGAGCCCTCACCTGCTCTTCGCTGGCCCGGGAGGCGGTTCACCTGGGGTCGCACAAAGGCTTCTGCTGTTGCGATGGAAGTGACTTTGGCCAGTGTCACCCAGAGACCCTCCAGTGGGCAGCTCTGACAAAAGCTTTTAAACCAAACGCAAAGCACTGACCTGCCTGTTAATGGTTGAATCTCCCATCTAACGCCCAAACCACACTCCCAGCTTCCCACGACGGACTGGAAGTTTCTAGCTGGTTGGTTTGAAGCCCAATTGGGTTCAGGGGGCCATCCACAAGAAAATATTACAGTATCTTAGATATTTAATGGGCTGCCGGCCCCGTCCCTAATCTTTCTGATCACCCGCGTGTTCCCTCTGGGGAGCTGGAGGCCCCTCACGTCGGCCCCACCCTGCCTTCCTTCCCTGGTCTTCTTTTCTTGGCCCCAGACCCAGAATCAACTGTTTCTGGGGGAGGCACCTGGTTCCCGGGAAGGCCATTAGAAGTCGCAGGTGGGGCAGGCCCCGTGGCATAGCGGTTAAGTGCGCGCGCTCTGCTGCTGGCGGCCGGGGTTCGGATCCCAGGTGCGCACCGATGCACTGCTTGTCAGGCCATGCTGTGGCGGCCTCCCACATAAAGTGGAGGACAATGACCACAGATGTTAGTTAGCCCAGGGCCAGTCTTCCTCAGCAAAAAGAGGATTTGCATGGATGTTAGCTCAGGGCTGATCCTCCTCACACACACACCAAAGCAGCAGCCGCAGGTGGACCACAGGTAATTTGACTTTCGGCTGCCAGACACTCGGCCCCGTTGCTTCGGGGGCTGCTGTTCTTCTCCGGGGTTTTGTGAAGACTCCGTGTATCTATTGGGGATGGTATAGACGGGCTGCACGTGTCCCGCCCCTCTGCTCTCAACACCGTGGGTCCTTGTGCTGAACTGGACGAAGGCAAGTGTCTAACCTCGTCATGCAGTCTGTCCTGCTGTTACATCCACTGCCTTCTCAACTACATAAACACAAGGACCCACGCTGTTTAACCATTTACTTGACTCCAAATCAAGAAATAACTGTATAAGCAAATGACATTGAAATTCAGAGACTAATTCCAAACAGGAAGGAGCCCAGGGGAGCTGGCAGTCACCACGGAAGGAGGGGGTGACAGCGAGGCAGGAGGCTCCTCATCGTGTCCCGTCCCCTCTCACCTCACCGTCTGGACTCCGGCTCATCGCCTGGCCATCCCTCACATCCCCAACTGAGGCGCAGACCCAGGCCTCTGGGGGCCACCTCGAGGGCCGTAGGACATTCAGGAGGCATCAAACCTCCCCATCCGAGGTGACAGGGCTTCAACCTTCCGCTTGCTCAGCCCAAACCCAGGTGTCACCTTGACTTTCTCCCATATACTATCAGCGAGCTGGGGGCTCCCTTGAGCCTTACTGCCGCCTGGACAGCCCCTGCCCAGTCTCCTGAGGCACCCGCGTGTCGTCTTGTCTGCTCTCCCAGGGCCCCCTACAGTCCACATTTCCCTCCACGTGAACGGAACAAACCAAGCAAATTTGCGGGACCAGGGCTGGGAGCCTCCCTCATCACACCCCATGGGGTGGTCTGCAATCCCACCCACAGACACCCGTCAGTCCTGGGGAAGGCCCGCCCCAAGGCTGGGGACCTGAGTCACTGCGGAAGGCTCCCGGAAGCTCATCAGGGGCACAGCGTCCAGGGAGAGGGACAGACACAAGCAGCACGGTGCAGGTGAAGAGCATCCTGAGGGGCCCTGGGCAGGTGTGCGAGGTCGGAGGGAGCTAGGAGGAGGTTCAGATCACGCACAAATTCCCGCTGTTCGTAAGCTTCGACTGGACACCACCCACCCCTGACTGGGGACCGTGGGAGGAGGGGCCCCCAGCAGGGGATGGGGGCTGAGGGGCGACGCGGCACTCACAGCAGGAGAGGCTGCCGGGCACCCAGGACACACCAGGTGCTGCACCTGGGGGCCTGGGACCAAATGCAACAGCTGTTCGTGTTAAGACGGCAAAGAGAGCGGAACAACAGATGGGCTGGGGCACAACACCCTGGACACCCCCGGACGCGTCACGGGGCCCGAGTCACTCAGCTCCCAACCCCCCACCCGGACGCCGGACGCCGGGAAGGACGGGGCGGACTCGGGACTCCGGAGTCTGTGCCTTTATTGGCGCGCAGCCTACTTGAGGGGGATGAAGCGGGAGGAGTGGGTGGCCCCGATCCCGGGCCGGCCATGCTTGACGGGCTTGTAGGTGATGGAGAACTCGCCCAGGTAGTGGCCGATCATCTCCGGCTGCGGAGGCGAAGAGCAGCCCGCGTTAGGCGTTAGGCGACCGCGGCGCACGGGCCCCACCCGCCCCACCGGCCCGGCGCAGCCCCGCTCGCCCCGACGCACCTTGATCTCCACCTGGTTGAAGGTCTTGCCGTTGTAGACGCCCACCATGCTGCCCACCATCTCGGGCAGGATGATCATG